AGTTGAATCTTCTGCTGCATCATCTTTGTCATTCTCCACGTCTCTAAATTGTAGAGCAAGACAGATTTGACATTGGAACGGACTATACGCAATTTTTGTGGCCACAGGGATTTCTTTCGGGTCCATTTGTTTTTGAGCATGTCCTTGCTTTGCAAATCATGGCTGTGACATCTCGCTTCAGCTTTGTCCAGTATCTCTACTAAATTCCATTGTTCCTGCTTTTAGTGGTTTTTTTCAATGACCCAGTAAATAAGAGAAAGGGCTACACTAGATAATCTTGTCGCAATTTAGACAAAACCTTAAAATTGTCTGTCAGCTGTCCTGCATGGGCTATTTTACATGCCATATCTTTGCAGATGCACTGCATGGATATGATCCTCTTGGGTAATCCCTAATGAGCCAGCATTTTCCAAAGTGTCTCTATATAAGTTGATGCAGAGAGGTGAGTTCCATTCTATTATTGATTGTTCTACTACAAGATGCACAAGGTGGTAAATTTAATATGTTCAGCACTTTTAGCTCTGGAAGCCTATCTAATGGTTCCAAAACTTAATATCAACTTCTTCGCTTATTCTCTCCATCCAATGAAGGACCTTGCTTGGTACTGATAGGAGCATGATTTCCCCGGTGGCTACTACGTTCACTGATGTCATCTTTTCTTTGGTACTTTTATAAGGACACCACATTCCATTCACTTGGGTCCTGTTCCTCTTCCTTTATCTTGTTTAAGAGGCTGTATAACATGTCATTTTCTATCCCTGTGTCAACCTTAAAAAGTGTATCTCGTATCTCATCAGACTCTGATGCTTTCCCATTCTAGGACTAACTCAGTAACACATTGGTTTCTCTGCTTTTGATGGTTTATCAGAGATGTTTGGCATATCTGCCTCTGCTTTATGGATATTTGGTTTGCTTCATGACCTGGAATATTCAGAACTTTCGTAAAATGTTCTTGCCATCTCTCCAGATATTCCTCAGTTGTTGTGAGTAGGTTTTCATCTTCATCCTTTTACAAGTGTCTCAGTCACATGGAACTTGCCTGGCAGGTTTTTAGTCCCTCATATCCTTTTCGATGCTGATCTCCACTTCTTGTGCAGTGTATTCCTCCTGTGAATTTGCCTTCTCTGCTCTTGCTTGGCAAATGTTATGCTTGGCTTTTTTGATTCTCACTTCCAGCTTTTGCAGGTCGGCAGTGGAGATACATTCCTTTACTCCTGCTCAGAACTTCCGAACAAGTGTCCAGCCAGATCTTCTTGGTTTGCTGACACTATGTTCTATGTCCAAATTTCCCTTCTGCAGCTCTCGCAGTGGCTGTAACTTATTTGACAGGCTGAGATTAAAGAAAGTCCGTATACCCCTGTACTTAAGCAGACCTATATTGAACCGTGTGAGAGCATTAGTAGTGATAGAGAACTCTTGCTGAAATCACTACAAGATGGTGACTGAATGCCACGTCAGCACCACTCATCACACGTACATCAAGACGTGATCACCTTTACTTTTGACATGCAGATATGGTCGATCTGGTTCTCTGTGAGATGTTCTGGGGATATCCATATGGCTTTCTGTATCCTCTTATGGGAGAAAATGTTGTTTCCTATTATTATCAGGTTCAGGGTGCACAAGTCTACAAAACACTTATGCATTCATCTCTCCCAGACCTGTGTTCTCATTACCCCCTTGATGCCGGTTGTCTCGGAACCTATCTTGGCGTCAAAATCACCCATGAATATCGTGATGTTCTTTGTTTCTCTTTTTTTTTTAGCACCATTTGGAGTTGGCTGTACAAAGTCTTACCTTTTTTCTTTGTCTGCTTCGTTTGAGGCATAGCAGTGCGTGGCATTCAGCTTGATATTCTGTCCCTGGTGGCAACTTGGTTGTGATGATACATGCGTGACAGATTCCAAGCTTCTGATGACATGGTTTGTCTCTGGGGAAATTATAAAGGCACTCTGTCCATATGGTCGGCACCCTCTTTAATATGACCAGAGTACAATAGTGTTTCCTCTTATGGTAAATTCCAGTGGTTTCTCTGCAGTTTCTCTGCAGCCATTTTGTTTCGATTAGTCGAAGCATAGAGATATTATAACTTTGAACTCGTCTGCTAGTTGCGGCTTGGGTTGTTTCCCCATTTTCGTATATTGTTCTGATATTCCAATCACTGGTTTTCCTGGGTGTCTAAGGGAGCTCGACCTTTCACAGTTACTAGTACCTTTTCGACTTTCACCTTACGCCGTCATTTGCCTCCTGTATGAAGGCCGTTTAATTCCCAAAACAGGTTGTTTTCTGTAACTTGTCTGTTTTACAGGCAAGGGGGTTAAACCCTACACAAATTGTTCTTCTATACCCCGGCTTGGGACAGACTTTGGGCTGAAAGCCACTAGCCACTTATAGACAAACTCAGAGGCAGTGTTAGTGCTTAGCTCTAACACATGAAATTGATTTTGATTATCTAGCATACATGTACGGTTGGCCATTGAAAGTTGATAGAACATTTCCGAATAACTTATAAAGATATACATGTAGTTATTTTTCATCAAATTTTATTTAACAAATCCGAGCCCAAGTAATTTGCTTGACACTGTATAAAATACAGTAACAGATAGACTAAAAAGAAAAATAAAGACGTTCATATAGCTATTCATCTGCATTTCTTTGGAACAAACTATCACAAAAATGTTCGAAACTCTAGTTCAGTGGGTATTTTTAAATCTGTGTATCTTACTGAGTATTTTAACAGAGTCAATACTTAAACTAGTTTTCCTTTCCAATTCATTGAGTGTGTCAATTTATGTGTGTATTGTTACAAATTTGATTCTACATGTATATATCAGTCATGTGATTGTACTTTTATATCTTATGTTTAGATTTAATTAATAGCTAATTTTATATGCCTATATATGATTGTAAATATGTGTTGATGCGGGACCACAATGAAAACTAGTTTTATACTAATTGTGTAATCCTGGATAAATAAAGGTTATTATTATTACTGTATTATCATTATTATTACCAACGTGTGCAATTAAAAGTGATACTAAGCGTCAATTGAATATTTTTATTCATTGTATAATGTTAAAACAATCGTTAAAATGCAAATAGTACGTGCTACTACAATAGCAAAGTGATTTTCACTGAAGAAAATACATTTCTATCGTACGATGGTAATTCTTGCTTACCAGACGGTAATGCAAATGATAATTATGCATAGACCTTGGATGTAAACTCTTTTAGAAAAAAAATACGCATACATATGCATGTACGTATATCGCAATTTGGGATGTCTAATAAAAAATGTGTTTTTTTTTTTAATTTTAAAAATGCTTCAAATATTGAACAAGTTTGTGACCTTCCAGTTTGGTGTCACATTACATTAATTATCTTTTTGAAACAAGCATAAATACAGGTGTAACCCCTCTTCCAAGAAAGAGGCCTTCACATGCTTTGACCTTTAAACTAGTTAGTAAAATTTCCTGCATTACTTAAATCATACTCTACAAGCGCGGATCCAGGAATTTTTTCCAGGGGGTGGAGGGGAGGGAGGGGGTCCACTTCAGTCAAAAAAAAAATTCCAATCCAAAAATTTCTTGACAAACAAATAAAAAAATTCCCAAAAGTGAAAAAGACCTATTTTGTGGTGACGATGATGGGGTCCACATTTTCCGGGGGGGGGGGGGGGTCAAAGTCATTTTTTATTTGCTTCAGTACATACTTTTGATAACTCTGCAAATTCCGGGGGGGGAGGGGGGGTCCGGACCCCCGACCCCCCTCTAGATCCGTGCATGCTCTCTTAAGGTCAAGATCTGGTAAATGAAAGGTGCCTACAGATTTCTTAAACTTGAGAAATAAATTCCTTTAATAATGCTTTATTACTTTAGCTTAGTCAAATAAGGTGTTTCGGGGCATAATTTGTAGGTAAACAAGACTAAAAATTGTATTTTAAACTGTTATTTTCAATGAGATATTGAGAAAATCAGTTATGAATATGGGAGTATTTTCCATATCAGACAAAGGAAATGTATCCAGATTGCCTACAGTCTGTCAGAAAACGGTAATGTATATGTTCTTAGCCTCTTCTTTGAAATAATGTTAAATTAAATATAGGTATCGGGATTACTTTTTACATAATTTCAAATTGAATTCCATGAAAATACTTCATTTTCTACACAATTCTATTGGAGACGTAAAATACGGGAAAAAGAGAGTTTAAAATGATTATGACGTCATAATGGACCTAGCACCAAAAAGACAGTCTAAAGTCATTTACTAGATCTTGACCTTAACAATTATTTTATACTTAAATTAACTGAAAGTAAAAATCTGTCTGGACCAATTCCCCCCTTGGGAAAAGAAATTTTGTTATCTCTTAAAAGTTAAATTACATTATATTTAATCATTTAATTGAAATAGGGAAGAATATATTCCCAGTACCCTATTTAATATTTAGGCCCCATAAACATTGCTTTGTAAATTCTCATTCAAAAATTGAAAGGGAAAAAACAAAATAAAACAAACAAACAAAAAAAAAACCCCAAAAACATTAGAATTCTTAAAAATATCTAGATCACATTCATTTTATACAATGGAGATGAAAATCTAAAAGTACTTTGTGTGGCCTAAAGGGCATTCATTATTTTAAAGGATGCCGGAAAAAAACCATATCATTTTTTTTTTATTTCTGTCGCAAGCTTTTGTATTTTATAAAAACTGCACACCACTTGTAAACTTTTATATCTTGCCTGAACCTACATAAATAAAAAAAATCCTTCATTTTTTATTAATTGATAAAATTTTAAATAATTAAAATGATTTTCCTCTCAAATTAGTCTGGTTTCAGGTCTCACGAATAATAGATATACAAATTGTCTAAAGTAACCACGTTAACAAAATAATCCTGAGTCTCAAGTGCGCTTTGTAAAACGACACTGCAAGTACTGTTTCGGAAGAGGTAAATATACATTGATTAGAAAATAAACAAAGTATTTGCAGATTTTCACATTGCAAAATTCATGCAAGGTGCTATCTTCATAGGTGAATATGGAGTGCTTGCCAATAAAAACAATCGAAGAGCTGGACGCATGGACACCAGGTGACCAGATAGACTGTAAAGTTTGCAGCGTTCCATTAGCAGAGAGGAGAGAGAGGTCTAGAACTACTCCCAAAACTTTACTCTGTCATGACATGTGTGGAGGGTACCTCACGGATAGGTTGTCAATACATGCTTTAATAACACATGATCTTATCTGTTATTTGCATTTATCATCATCGAGCGAAATTTGATGTTGCTTTTTTCTTTCTGAATTCACACACATAAGTTTACACTAATTTACTCAATTTATTTAATTGTGAAATAAAGGATTAAATCAATAAGTCATTAATCTCTGTTTATGCTAACCTGAAAAGCTACAATGTATTCATTTTCAGGATGTGATTTAACATTAGTTGAACTTCTCATTACAGTTATTTTGTGTTCTCTTATTATCAATTTTCAGATTTGTGCAAGGGACTGAAGATCCACAACCATACCGCTTTTATCACTGGCAATACATTGACACTTTTATATACTTTAGTCATCACTTTGTCACTGTTCCACCTGTAACATGGATTAATGCAGCTCACAAGCATGGGGTTAAAGTTCTTGGTACATGACTCTTATTAATTATTTTAATTAAACATACTGTCTACATTTTAATTAAACATACATTAACATTCGTACATGTACAGTAACTCTATTATGAAGAACTCACTTATAAGGAAATCTCGGTTATCAGGAACTTTTTATGAATCCCATAAAATACATTTCACTATGTTTCTTACATGGATATAAAGAATCTCAGTTAAAAGAAAGTTATTTTAAGACCCAAGTGACTTCCTTATATCTGAGTTTTACTGTATATGCAAATACATGCATTTTTTGTTAAGGTCTGTCCACTTAAAAATGAAAAGACATTCTGGCTATTTGAGAAAAAAATAACTCACTTTATTGAAAGTTCAGTGCTTTAATGAATATCACATCAGCTGTTTCTGCCAACAATTTGGACATATAAAAACACTCTGTATACAGTCTTGTATAAATGTCATAGGACCTTGTATTGATTGGCAACACCCCCCCCCCCCCCCACACACACACACACACACAAAACAAATAAACAAAACAAAAACAAAAATTCCTTAATTTCAGATTATAAAACTTTTTTTCTCCATAAATAAAATACACAATGGGTGTACAACATTGAAAATCCTAGATATTGTTAGTAAAAATGTTATGAATATTTAAAAAACAAATTGTGAATATGCCAGTTTAAATGTCAGGGTAAAATAGGCTATGCCTGCTGCCCAATCTCTTTCACTTTATGTGAATAAAATTATGTATGCCAGTTTATATGTTCATTTTAGGAACATTCATAACTGAGTGGGATGAGGGTAAGCTCAGAACTCAAAAGCTGTTAGAATCTGAAGATTCCTTTAGAAGGGTTGCCAACAAATTAGTTGAGATTACAAAATACTACAAATTTGATGGATGGCTTATCAACATAGAAAATCCTATTGAGGTATGTACATTATATGATTCTTACATGCAATAAAAGTCTCTGCTTTGTCTGTCTTTTTCCCTGAAACTCTCTCTCTCTCAAAACCTCTCTCTCTCTCTCTCTCTCTCTCTCTCTCTCTCTCTCTCAATGTTTTATACATGTTTAATCTTGTTACAGTCAGACAAGACAGAGAATCTCTGTAATTTTGTGGGCTATTTGACCAGCCAGCTCCACAAAGCAGTGCCATGGTCCCAGGTCATCTGGTATGACAGTGTACTAAATACAGGAAAACTTCTGTGGCAGAATGAACTCAACTGCCAAAACTGGTATTTATATACATGGTTACAAGTAAAATAGTTATATTCCATATTCTTGGACAAATACATCAGAATGTTAATTATTTTATCATCAGCAACAATACTTAACATTTCTCTTTTTAGTTTTTGTTTGAACTTTTTTTGGTAAACCTTTATAAAATAATACCTGGTACACATTTAGTCTCAGCTTCTACATGAGAAACCAGCAACTGTAGATTTCAATTCATGTTAATTACTATTTGAAATTTGTTATTATGAGAAAGAAAATGTAAAAATGAAGACAACAAATTCATTAATATCTAAAAAAGTTTGGGTTTTTTTAATAAATATGCATCACAGTTACTATGGAACTTCATATTTTCAGTATGTATTTTGATGCATGTGATGGAATATTCCTGAACTACAACTGGAAAGATGAGACTCTCCATAACTCTCTGACAATGGCCAGGGGCAAGGGGAGGGATATGGATGTGTATGTGGGGATCGACGTCTTTGGTAGAGGGTGTTTAGGGGGAGGAGGATACAACACTGTGGAGGTAAAACTCATGTTTACTATACCGGATGAATTTGTTTTCAATAAAGGGTGCAACTTTATTTATTTAAAAAAATTGATGAGCAAAAATGTATTTTTGTCCTTTGAATTTGAATTTTATATTCTCCTAATTTAGTGAAAGTTTTCAAAATACAAATGAAATATACACGTGTAAACTGAGCAACTATCAATTTGTATAAAAACTCAATAACATATTCATTTGAAATTCAAGATTTTATGATACAGCTATTTTTGTGTGTGATAATGATTTTTCATATTTTGTAGGCCCTGGCTGCCATTAGGAGATTCAACATGTCTGCTGCAATATTTGCTCAAGGATGGGTTATGGAAACGCAGGAAAAAGAGAAGTTCACAGAAAATGAAAATAGGTTAGTTGTTTAGTGGTTGAATATTTTAATAGAATTCTAGTTTTTCACACATTCCCAAGGCTCGACATTACGCAGCTCTGTTAAGGCTGCATAAAGTGGGCGGAGCCTAATTTATACGGGAAATGTCTACAGTGACATCACACAAATATAGCAATTCCTCAAAACAACAGAAAATGAAATAATTTGCAGTTTTAAACTGCATAAGAGTGATGAACTACATCAAAACTTACCACTGCATTCATTTTTGTCGCTAGTTAAATCCCACACAGCAAGATATAAACAAGTTACTGATCGCAATGCACTTGTCGACATGACGTCATCATGGTAAAATTTGACGCATTATATGTGCAGTGAGAGGCGGATCAAGCTATTTTTCCACAGTGAAAAACGCATTTTATTATTAAACAGAATATAATTTGCAAATCTTAGGTAGACCATTTTTACAAACCTGAAACCTTTGTTTAATGCCATTATTTAAAAACTATCGAGAGAATGTATTGAATTAATTCTACCGTGTTTTTATACAGGGTGTGCATATTTCACTCCGAGGTGCCTCATTAAATCGCCTTTTCGCAAGGGCATACACTTAATAGATCTTGACCATTTTTTGAATATGCATAACGGAAACATTCCTTAACTTGAAAAGTGCTGCTGCTTTCCTGAAATCGAGAGCATTACTAAATAAATAAATAAAATACATGGTAAAGGTCACACATATTTCAACTATAGCCAAATAACTTGAAATTTAAACTAATAAAATGCGGATTCTATTTAAAGCAGCAGCACTTTTCATAAAGTCAAGTTATGTATATACAATTTATTACTGAAATTTTTAATCATAACTAGGGTATGCCCTTGCGATATTGAAATTTGTTTATGACCTACAAACAGTACACATTACATGCATTTATCACGTGACTGTCAAATAACGTGACCAAACCAAATTCCGTACCGAGCGGGGTATACATGTACAATGTTATTTCAATTAAAATTAAAGTCATGTGATAATATAGTAGCTTTACAAAAATTAATTCAGTTTAAAATGGTATGTATTCATGCACGTTTATATTCCGTTGATTTATTCGTAGTACGCCTTAACAGTACTGCGTAACGTTTGTCCACTTGTCCGGTACCAGTGAAAAAAAAAATACGGACAAGTGAATATTACTGGGCACTTGTCCGATTGGACAAGTGCATTTTTATGTAAAGAAGTCTCTAAATATTTAAAAGAACAACTGTTGAAAGTTTACCGGTACTTTAAGACGGAAACAGTACATAAAAACAGAACTTCGATCCCGATATAGATTGCAATGGAGTACACTCGATCGGGATCGAAGTTCACTAATTGCATACTACTGCAAAGGCATGGAACTGACAAAGTCTGAATTCTGTATTATGTGGACAGCATTTATGTAGTCAGGACAGAAAGTCTAGATAAAATTTTGTTTTATGTGTTTGTTGTATTTATAAATAACATCATGCACATGTAATGGACTTTATTTTTAGTTTTCCAGTTGACAGTATTAGATCTTTAATGAAAATTTTTCGGACAAGTGAAGTTGAAGTTCGGACAAGTAAATGTCTTGGTCACTAGTAGGGAAACAAGAGGTCCAAGGGCCTTAACGGTCACCTGAGTATAATACAACAATTTAGAGGATCCATAGAGTATAAAATGAACTGAAAGGTGAAGCTTTGTTGCCCAAGTGTGATCAGGATCAACAAAATAATTAGTCTAGTGTTCATTAACAGTACATAGATTTGGTTCTAATCTGTTCCCCATTTATCACTCTCACCAGACAGTATATAAACAAACTTATAATCAGTGCTTCTCTGCTCTTTTAATTTCTTGTTGAAATCTCTTACATTGGCCTCTCTTGGTCTTTGATGAACATTTAGTAAGACAAGTTATTTTTGTCTCATTTTTATTTATCTGTTACTTACAAGTCTACCTGATCATTAAAACTATATGAAAGTACTTTTTGTATTATACAATAAAAATTCTTGCATAATTTTCTTATTCTATTAACCTTTCAAGTACATTATTTACAGTGATTAATTATCACAAGTAAGTGGCAAAGGGGAATAACTCCTCTCAGTAGAATACAAATTAATAGAGCCCTGACCTGGACCAGAACACTTGATCAAATGGTTCTGATGTTCAAAAATCTGGTAAAAATACCCTTCCTTATTAAAACTTTTACTCTTTTGCCTCAGATATGCCCAGGTGCAGAGAAGATTTTTAAAGCATTAATGCATTTTCACTATATAATAAATAGAGCCCTGCCCTAATATCAGAACCTCTGATCCAGGGGTCATGAAATTCACAATTTTGGAAGAGGCATCCTTGCTTATCATAACCATGTATTTGTTTCAATAATACCCAGGAGTAGAAAAGAAGATTTTCAAAGAAATAAAGCACTTTCACTATATGATCTATATAGCCCCACCCTAGCATCAGAACCCCTGACCCTGGGGCCATGATTTTCACAATTTTGGTAGAGTCACTCTTGCTTATCATAGCTATGTATTTAATTTGTTTCAATAATACCCAGGAGTAGAGAAGAAGATTTTCAAAGAAATAATGCACTTTCACTATATGATCTATATAGCCCCGTCCTAGCATCAGAACCCCGACCCTGGGGCCATGAATTTCACAATTTTGGTAGAGTCACTCTTGCTTATCATAACTTTGTATTCAATTTGTTTCAATAATACTCAGGAGTAGAGAAGAAGATTTTCAAAGAAATAATGCAATTTCACTATATGATCTATATAGTCCCACCATAGCACCAGAACCCCTGACCCTGGGGTCATGAATTTCACAATTTTGGTAGAGTCACCCTTGCTTATCATAACTATGTATTCAATTTGTTTCAATAATACCCAGGAGTAGAGAAGATTTTTTAAGAAATAATGCACTTTCACTATATGATCTATATAGCCCCATCCTAGCACCAGAACCCCTGACCCTGGGGCCATGAATTTCACAATTTTGGTAGAGTCACCCTTGCTTATCATAACTATGTATTCAATTTGTTTCAATAATACCCAGGAGTAGAAAAGAAGATTTTCAAAGAAATAATGCACTTTCACTATATGATCTATATAGCCCCGCCCTAGCACCAGAACCCCTGACCCTGGGGCCATGAATTTCACAATTTTGGTAGAGGGCTCAATGCTTATTACAATCATGCCAACAGTTTGACTGCTTGATGTCCAGGAGTAAAGAAGAAGATTTTTAAAGATTGCATTAATTTTGATGGTTTTGGCCCCACCCCTCAGGCCCCAGGGGGGCAAGGGCCACGAATTTCACAATTTTTGTTCCCCTTCACCCATAGATGCTATATGCCAATATTGGTTGAAATTGGTTTGCTGGTTCCAGAGAAGAAGCTGAAAATGTTCAAAAGTTACGAACAACGAACAACGTACGACGTACGATGACGGACAAAAACGGATAGCAATAGGCCACCTGAGTTTACTCAGGTGACCTAAAAAGTTAATGTGGAGCCCTGATTCCTATCCATGCAAACAATGGATCTGTTACTTTTTTAAGCATTTAAGTAGAAACAAGTTCATAATTCTCCCAATTTTTGTGACACATAAAAAAAAGAAATAAGTGAACTGACTTTGATCTGAATTAACATCCCCTTGATGATGCTTTGGTATATTTAAAGATATTTTATATGAATGATAAAGTTTACAATAACTTCATATCTAATGCAGATTTTGGAGTATGCTGGATTGTCTGCTGCCCGCTAATGAATTTACTAATTTCCCTTTCACTACCTCATTTTGCCAAGGGTTTGGAAAGAAGTACAGTTTACTTGGTGAGGTAAGAAAATATATACGGTATCACATAGTGGAACAGGACATTAGAATGTAAAACACATACTTATTAACTTGCAGACTCAAAGAGTATTTTTTGTAGCAAGTTCATCTGCAAATTAGCTTGAAACCTATGTTTTAAGCTTATTTAATAAGCTTAGATATATTACGGAAAACTTGTATGATGCTGATTTCACTTGTCTGAAGAATTTGTTGCTTTTGTATAAAAAGTTCATAGACAACATATACCTGAAAGAAAATATTTATGGTTGATTTTGAATTGACAGGTCATTCATGAGAAACCTTGGTATAACCTGTCTCTCCAGGAAATTCAGCCTACTTGTACAAACTCCCAGTTTCTCAGGCATCATCTGCAATACCAGCCAGCTATAGACATCTGTACAGATGACCCATTGACAGGGGGAGCCTGTCTAAATCTCAGTGGAAAATTGTCCATTGATGGGCAGCCACTTTTGTTCAGGTATAGATAAAGCTGTAGAGGCATTTAGGGACATACAATTGTAATATGCTTTGACTCTCAAATAGTCAACCCTTTGTGATTAAGAAGCGACTAATTGTCACATTATTTTTAGTAGTAGTATTTTGTTATTTGTTTTATTTTTCGAAAGAAAGTGTAATCTTGAAAATATTTTTTTTTTCCAAAAAACATTCTTATCAGAATGAAAAGTCATTTATTTTCCAGTTTTGGCAAGTAACTTCCTATAATCATCACCAGAACAAATCACCTTAATATCAAATTTTCAAATAAATATGGATCAGTCTTGTAGATTATGTTGCAGTTTTGGCAAGTAACTTCCTATAATCATCACCAGAACAAATCACCTTAATATCAAATTTTCAAATAAACATGGATCAGTCTTGTAGATTATGTTGCAAAGGGAGATAAATGTTGATATTAAAAAAAGGGATAAAGAAATTTTTTAGAAATATATTCATGCATAATTTCTTCCAAGTCATTCTAATGACAGATTGAGACCAGCTTCTTTATGAAATTGTATATATTACCTTCCACTGGATTTTCAGATTATTTGATACATCTATCACTCTGCCTCAAGAAGATGTCATTGTGTCTTACACCTACAAAATGAGTAGCACCACAACCTGTGATTTGTTCCTACAACTGGAGGTCCAGGAAAATAATGGATCTAGTCAGCTGTGGATATTGCGAGAAGAGAAAACATCTCAGGTCCCACAGAATATGACAGTATATAATTGCCTGTCTGATGCTGAAGTTTTGGAATTGCTCCCTAATATAAAAGCATCACCAAGCAATGGCTGGATTACAAGGTATTTGAAATTTTCAAGATAAAATTCAATGCATCAAAATTCCAGTTCATAAATAACATAGCTTAAGAGTAGATATTATTTGATTTTAGGTATTATAGTATCAAATCAAAGGGGGGTTCAGCAATCAAATCCATCAGCTTTGGGTTGCAGTCCACAGGATCCCTTGACAAACAGTCAGTTCAAATAGGCCATTTACAGGTAAAACTTTTGCTTATCTACATACTGGTACATGTATATTAAAATGAGAGCAATGCTTATATAATCTTATTACATCCCCATAACAAAACTGGAGGGGGAAGGGATTTGAATAAAAGTTTCTGTCCATCAGACTAGCTGTCTAATATGTATAAGCAAGATTAAGCTCCAGGTTTAGGTCACTTTCAGACTACTCTCAAGAGGTATCCAAATCAAACTTGCAGACTGGTACAGCTGTCATGGTTACCCAAAATAACCGAAAAATGGCTGTCCAAGTTGTTTGGTTTGGTTTAGGTTCTAATTTTCCAGATTTCGGTTCGGGCCTGGTTTATTCTAATAAGAATCTGTTCAATACAAAAAATGGCATTGAAATCAAAGGAATGATGACGATAACAATGATATTAAACATCACAAATAAAATCTACTTCATTCTATGACAAAACACTTGTCATGAAAGGATTAGATACATGTAATTATCAAAACGAGCAGGAATTGTCAGGTTGTGGCTAATAGTAGGCCAAGTAGTTCTACACACCGATATCTAAACGTTAACATGGTTAAAACTTGTTTTCAATGTAAATTTAATGTAACAAAAAATTTTCAAGTCAAATTCATGAAATTCAGGTTTAAAATAGATGTAAATAACCTAACCAAAAAACCTGAAACAACCAAAAATTTACAGAACTGCCCGACCCGAAAAATGTTGGAACCATGACAGCCCTACAGACAGGTGTATCTGTGGATACTTAATGAGCTGCATACATTACTTGTATCATTGCATGGGTTTCATTTCATTTTGACATCTCTAAGTTAACACTGCTTTTCAAGTTGACATGTACTTCTTTCCACAGATTGTTGCACTGAAAGATCTTCAGTCACTTCCAACAAATAAGGACATAGAGCAAGTTCAATGGGAGACCTTGGAGGAAGGAAAATGTCAGATTTCCTGGCAATTTCCACAAGACAATGCTGTTACTTATTATGATGTGTACTCAACTTCAGAGGGCAGCAAAAGTTTACTAGGACAGAGCAAAGTGAAATGTTTTTATACTGACTTGAAGAACAAAGGACATTTGTCTCTACAGCCAATTTTCTTTTCTTCAATCCCAGGAAAGACAACATCCTGTTAGCTGGCTAGCCCAGTTACATTGTCATGACTAGCTAAATTAGCTACATTTTTGTGTGATCCTTATTACAATATATCTGATTTTCCACTAAAACTGACTGAATAAAAAAAAAATAAAAAGTATTGAAAATAATTTATTTTCTTTTTGTACATAAAATGAAAATTATGTACACAATTAAAATATGTTTTCATGTAAAATTTACATAGTTTTCACATGTCTATTATTAACATGATTCTTGTTTCTGCAACTTCCAAATTAATGAAGTCAAAATTAAAAATGCAGAGATTATTCATCTTGAATTTCTGTATTTGCATTCTGTATGAGTCATTCCCTTTGAATTTCATTGATGAAAATGTGTATCAATCAGCAAAAATTCAGCAATTTTGAAAATTTCTCATTTCAAATATTGACTTAAATTAATAAAATGCAACAGAAGTAAAAAAGCACTATAACTTTCAAGTTTTCACTCAAGGCAATAACATGTACATAGCAGTACATTCAATTATGGAATGAATATATGATTTGATACATGTAATTAAAATAACATATACCTGTACTTCTTTTTAAAAATGATAAAGCTTCTCTCATGATACAATCAATATAATACCGAAGACTGATAAAAAAAAAACCCTGAACTCTGCATGCTTCCTCTATGCCTTGAATAAGATGTTCCCAGTAAAAGTTTTTGTTTTGCAGGTAACACAAAAATAAAGCTACATATACATGTATAATGTATAAAAACTTTTTCTTAATTTTTTTTGGGGGGGGGGGGGGGCAATAGTGGTGTGTTTTATGGACCAACTGTAAGCTAAATATGCAATAATTTTTGCAGAGTGTGTACACATATAATTTTTGCAAATTGTGTACACTAAGTTTGCGTACATGTGTGCTTGGGGGGGGGGGGGTTGCTTAATACATCTTTATAGGTTTACTAGAGTTAGAATATTTCAAGTCTAAATAATGCTTTCAATATATTATATATACAATACACGAATGAATTCAAACAGGGCTAGCAATGTTACCAAATAACCATTATTGCAATCTGATTCAGCATTATAAATAAGCAATACTAGGCATAAAATACATATACACTGTACTACATGATAACAAAATATGGAATGCACAACAATGGAATACTTAGTAACATGAACAATAACGTATATTGGTCTAAAAATAGATATTAGCATTTGCAACAAGTGTGGAAAGGGCTGAAAATTGGGGGAAGGAAGGATGAAACATATGCACTGTTTTGCACAGCTTTGATTCATTTATTTTTACACTAGAATACACATATATTTGTTTAAGAAGTTCAGTGATTTTTTTAGTTTAATCTACATAAATATTCCAGAAAAAAAAATCAAAATCCAGAATATTTGGTGATTTTTCCTAAAAATAAATTGTGAAGCTTTCAGCTTTGACAGATACTTGAAATATAGCAAGGACTCTGATCCAGGAAGTCCCTATATCATGTAAATTGTCAGTTTTTACTGCATGCACAGAGTACTTAAAATCTGCACTTAAACACTTCTGCATCTTCAAAAATCATCTCAGACATTTTACAAATACATGCATCTTTAACAACATAAGATCAAATGCATCATTATGCCATTTTTTTTAACTTATTTTTTTCTTCATTGTTTAATATATGCTGCCTGTGTATATATACAATTAATACCTGCAGACCAAGCAGAGGTTAATTTTCTTTCCATACTGGAGTCCATTTTCACTGTCTTAATTGTACATAAAAAATAAATGAAGTAAAGCTCAAATACAGTCAGAAAAATCAATATAGGCTTTACACCTGTACAGTGTTCAATAGTTACTAGGAAATCATTAATCTTTGTAGGGGTTTCATTTTTGCTGTTTTCATGGTATAAAGAGAACCCGAATTCATGTGCCCCATGAAATGTTAAATTTCAAATAAGCCTACACACTACCTCAGCATTTCCTCAACCATGAAATCAAATCTCCATAACCAATATTTTTTCCTCAAGCCACAAAAATTTGACCCCTCGAAAACATGTCATTTTACAGTATAAACATTAATGGTCAACCCTTAAGAATTGTAACAAAACATTAGTTTACTCATTTCTGAAACCCTGTTCCCATGATGGCATATTTATATTTGACCATAGAATTTGAGTTTTATCATTAAAGATGCATTTTTAGTAAAAAAAAAAAAAATGTAATTTCTAAAAAAATCTTTATATACCTGTTTCTCTCATACTTGTTCAAAAGGTTGTGTACAGAAAAACAGAAAGACCAAAAAAAAAAAAAACAGGCATAAAGAACTTTGAATGTTTCAGATATTCTAAATATGCAACACTTTTCTTCTTTCATTGAACAACCCTTATGTCATTGCACTAACATACATTCTCTGAATTAGTACATGTAATGTGTATTAATAACAAAAAAAATCATAACATTATCCTTGCGTCATTCCAAACAAAGTTGAAAAAAAAAATCCGGAGAAATATTACAACGGTCACTACACACACACACACCAACCAGAATTGCACCATTGGTTATCACTCAATGTCACATAGACAAATCATCCCAGCATCAAGAGCTGTCACGTCCTTAGTACAGACAATCTAAAGGACTCTGACCTCTTTGGCACCAAAAGACTGGCCACTGAAAAATAAAATTGAATTGATTATCAGCATCGTTTCCATATTTGGAGAGATGCAAAACGTGGAGAATCAGACTGCAGTAATAGATTTTATTGAAATGAAAGCAAAAAAAATTTAATATATTCAATCAATGCAAAAAACATAAGGGAAGTATTTTTTCTGTCAAGCTATATTATTTACTTTTTCTTTATTTCCGTTACTCCTGTTCCAGGTTTTCACTAATTAAAAGCTTAAATTTACACAAATCCCGTAAGATGCATGTGTATATACCCATGAATAAGGGAGAGGAGCTCGTATGTCAAAACAACTTTTTCAACAATCCATTGTATAATATGTGTAAAATTTACTTTTAAGTAAAACACTTATAATGAACTGTCACGGACTAAAGATTTTGATTTGTTTATAATTCTTTATATCCAGTAACTTCATAATATGCTTATTAACTACAGTGAAAGAAAGACACTTTGCTGGCGTGAATTTATTATAAGCATTTTTCTTGTAACAAAGTCTCCAACTAAATGAATGTTCCGGTAATGTGTATCCCTAGGTGCACATCCATGCAAGTTTGGTTTGGTTGGACTTTATTTCTTGGGAATGGATCGTATAAAAACTTTGTTTCTTTCACCTGGAAAATGTAGGTCAGATCACACAGGTTGGTAAGATGCTGTGTACAAAGAATGGCTGGTAAATGTGAATCTCTAGATGCATCATCAAAGCAAGTTTGGTCCACATAGGATTTATAGTTACTTCTGAATAGACCTGATCTGAAAACTTTAATTTGGTCACTCATCTGGAAATGTAGTCAGACACAACACCTATTAAATGCAATTTAAGCAAATCTGGTAGGATGCATCCCTAGGGGCATCACTGCAAGTTGGTCAGCATAGGGCTTATTGTTACTAGGAAATGAACGTGCTCCAAATACATGTACTTTAACCTGGTCACTCATCCAGAAAATGGAGGTCAGATCAAGCATCCAAAGAAAGTCAAGTAGATGCATCATTCATGCAAGTTTAGATCACAAAAGGGCTTTAGTTACTTGAAGGATGTTTGTTACTATGCATCAAGAGATGCATTATCCATGCAAGTTTGGTCTCCAAAGGAATTACAGTTACTTGAGAATGGACCTACTCCAAAAACTTGAACACAGTCAATCATCTAGAAAATGGAGGGCAGATACAGATCAGAAGCATGACTAATAATTTGTGAGTGTATCCCTAGATACTTCATCCATACTAGTTTGGTCCAGATAGGGCTTATAGTTATTAAGGAATGGACCTGCTCAGATCCAGCATCCAAAGGAAGTCTGGATAAGCTCATCTCAGCCTTGTTGAGCTGAACTAAAAATGAATTCTACCGCAGATGCAGTTTGCATACCTACATGCTTGTTTGCTGCAAGACTAAGATAACATTAGTTTTTTTAGAACTGCATGAAATATGGAGATAATGAACAGTATTCAGGCTCAAAGTCCATTTAAACAATACAATTCGGGAGCAGAGCAAATTATGGACCTCCAAAAACATCAGAGGTGGGATCAGGTGCCATGGAGCAGTGAGTATCCCCTGCCCACCGGTCACACCTGCTGTGTGCTCCATGTCATGATCGGGAAAAAGAGAAAAACATGTTGACAATTCAGTATGTAAATAATGGCCTAACAATTAGTATGAAAATTGTAATTCAGTATTTGAGTTAATGATAGGTTGTATTTGCTAACAAGGTTATTGTATTCACCATAAAACTTGCGAAATGATGACTTCAAACAAGACTGTTTATATCCTTGTTTCATCAACTTGTTTGTCAATAGCTTGCCTCATTCTAGAAATTGTACATACATAGAGCATGCTCTTGTGTATCAAATCAACTGAGAGAAAAAAAACCCATATGCAGGTGATAAGGGTATATTGCAAGATAAGGGAAGCTGACGACTGAAAAATTGAAGTCATCATGTTTATCATAAAGCCTTGTTGTTAGGCTACCATTAAAGTCTTTTTCTGGTAAAATATTCAAAAATGAAACATATGTGTTAGATTCTGTGGTATTTTTTATTTCAAGCTCACTGGGATATATCAAGTTGACATATGAATGGAAGTAACTATTGTTAATTGATAAGATGTCGTTGATATATCTAAATGTCGAGTTGAAGACCACTGCAAGTGTTTTCTTCTTCTCATGTTGAAGTTTTTGAATTAATTCTGCTTCATATAAATACAAAAATAGGTCTGCTAATAAGGGGGGGGGGGTGCAATTGGTATCCATGGGAATTCAAACAGATTGTTGGATGACCTGATCTCCAAAAACTACACAGATATTGTCAATCAGAAACTCAAGCATCTTTTTAATATCAACTTCAGAGTACTTGTGTGTACAATAAAAAAGTTTTTTGAAAAATAGTTTTGCAAATGACCAATAACAAGGTAAATATATTTACGAGTTCCATTTTTATTGAAAAAGCAGCTGTCTATGATGTCAAAAAAGCATTAAGTTTTAATGGTTTTGGACCCATCTAGATACCCAAGTGACTCAGGTGACCTAAAAATGAATGAAATTCTGCCAAATAAATGAAGGGCTGGATAAACAGTATACTAATTCACTATCAAAATTCCCTTGTTCATAAAAACTAGTGACATAACCCTGATAATGATAAAGATCATTATACATAATTTGATTTGCCTCGATCTAGTTCCCCTATATCTGAAATATAGCAGACATTCAGTACAAATTTCATGTACATTCTGGGTCAATATATATGTATAAAAATACTTCATGCATAATTTCATGGTAAAAATGTAATTTTTGATCATAATTGTCTTTAATACCAGTATAAGATGAACTCACTTCAATAATGCATTGATACTTCTCAGAAGTTTAGTGTAACTTAATAAACAAAGTACATTAACCTCATAATGGTGAGAATATATATATGCAAGTACACAAATAAGCTTTATATGTGATTGCGGTGGTGTAAGAGACAGAAGCAAGAATTAGCAACATACTACAAATGGTATATGTATTACCACATATATTTTAACTTTGTTCAAAATGATAAGTGCGCATAGAGGCATACCGTTGTGTAAAATTACCTCACAATACTGGCACTGTTACATTTTTTATGCATTTAAAACAATAGTATTCAAATAAAGAGGTTATAGAAACAGTGGTTGCTTTGCACAGAGAAAAACAAGGATAAATATGATGAATCTATTGGAGTGACTGTGGAATATTGTTATTCATTGTTTTCAAAAACTGGTGCATTTGAATGTTTTAAAACGTTATTTCCATCCATTGAAACAAACTTTTAGTCATACTTTGCATAAACTAAGATACGAAATTTCCATGTTAGTTTTTCTTTTCAGTCTGTGCTTTGTGATTTGAAAGCTAGCTAAAACTAAAAAACAACTTGCCATATGATTGACTTAAGGATGTCCATGCATGAGGTTACATCATGGCACATGGGAAATTATTATTCTTTATTTAACATATACTCAACAAAGTATAGTTTATGACAAGAAGTATGATGCAAAATGATTTTGCCTTTTTGAAGTTCCTTAGAATATTTTCAAGATGTGACAGAAAAATATGTTAAAGTAACAATGTATTGTCAGTACTGAAACTTTGGTTATTTACCCATACAATTTCACAGCGAGAATGAATGATATTGCATATGCTGCATTAAGCAATTACGACTTATTGTGATTTAGTTATATAGTAACATAAGGGAGATGTTATTATACAAGAGGTCATACCTTTATTTACGATAGATCTGAGTGTCTGAAAAATTAGGTCTTGTTCTATTACTTTGTTGATAGTCCGTAACACTAAGCCATGCTTCTGTACATTAGAGTATGTACCAAGGAAATAAAATTAATATTTTGGATAATCTAAATATTTACAATAATATTGCTCTATGTAATAATAAAACAAATAAGTATGTAAATATAAGTCTGAAAGACAGGTTAAATTCTGATTGAATGTACTATATTAAAAATAAATGTAACACATATGAAATTGATATATTTAGATATTATAATAATATGTCTGCATATACATATAAAATTGTGTCTCTCACAATTTTTTCCTGAAATGAACTAAAAATCCTAACCATCACAGAGAATAAAACTTTAAATCAAGGTATATTCTTCATTTTAATCTTAAAAGTTTTAGACTTCAGATTTACTGAATGGCACTAAATCGTTGTTTTGATAATTTATAACATATTTATTTATCTCAACCAATCTGAATAAAATCAGATCCTCGTTGCTCCTTTTTAACGATATGTTGAAAGCAACATATTGTTAAAAAAGGAGCAATAAGATTCTCATTTTAATCACACTGTTATCTTATTAACATGTTTTAAAGAAAAACACTGTATACTTTTCAAGTGATAATTCATACACTAGCATGACTTGGAGTCCCAAAAATCCATGTAATGTGTACGCAATGTAAGGCGCAGCAAATTACGGCAATTCATGTAAGTACATGTAATTGTGCTTTAAAATAGAGCTAAATGGAAGAAAAACATGTAAATAAAAAAAAAAATTAGTAAATGATCAGCAATTCATTGAAAATATTACTGATTAATGTAGAGTCATTAGTAGTCCCGGCAAAATGGAATAATGCATTTTTTTTTAAATTAAGCATTTTCTTATCTGTCAGATAGCAAAAAAGAGTCTCAATTAAGCTTCGGGAACTAAACTTGCTTGAAATCATACAATACTACTAAATACTATAAAATCTGAAAAACTACCACACACTGAAAAAAAAAAAACTTTTCTACACTAAAGCCTTACATCTGCAGTAATTAAATATACATACATCGATTGTCCTGTGGTGTCATGGGCAGCTCTGTAACTCGTTGTAATGCACAAATCCATTGATTCATATCCTCGCGAGTCTCAGCACTGAGAATAAAGTCTCGTTCTGGAGTGTGGAGGGTAAACACGTAGCCCTGGGTATTACAGTTATCACTGCAGCCCATGCTCACTGAAAAATCCCCATCTCGATGCCCAATAAACACTTCTCCTTTTGGATAAGGATGCTGGAAAGAAATGTATTGAATAATAGATTTGTTCCTTATAGTGCCACTACTCGCAAAATTTAAGCTCTTTCTCTTTTTAAGTTAGGATTGTTATCAAGAAAAAATGCAAAATTAAGGAACTGCACCTTTTTAAGTGATCCTATTTTACTTATAGCATACATGCAATACTAGATATTTATACATATGGTCCATAACTTCATGATCAGATACTTCATTGTTTTCTTTCTTCCCTGCATTCATTTAATGTACATAGACATACTTTTTTCCCCATGGAACTAGTTTATGCTATGTAGACGGTCACAATTTTTTGCGGAAATTTGTCACTGTGTACTTAAAATGCATTAAGGACATGTAATAACAATCCAAGAAATCGGCATAATTTTCTACCCATGGATTGTACAGAAATTGTGATTCTGCAGAAATATGACTCTGTGGAAAAAAGTAAGTGTACAATATGTACTTCAGATTTAACTGCAGTTTGACTAATGATCAATTTCTAAAAAAAATAATTCCTTCTGCTTCTTTGTTGATGAATATATTACCAGAGGTTCTTCTAGATACATCAGTTTCCTTTTATCCAGTGTAAAAAATCTTTTTTTGAAAGGTTCATTTCTGGGACCCATTTTCTTTAACCAGCCCTCTAGAATAAAATCTCTAGTGAGTTCTTCTGCTAACTGAAAAATAAAGTAAGATATTAAATCTATTTTCAAAAGCCAATACACCGTTATGTAAGAGTGATATTCAAAGTCATGTAGATGGATGCATTAACTTTAAACTGTGTAAGAAAGAAATTAAAATCTACAATATATTTTTTCTGTCTAGAAATGTAAATATTTGTTTGGCAAGCAGGGTTTCATATACATGTACATGTACATGTACATGTAACTTTGGAACCATGCAGCTGGTTACTGCATCCATGGTTAACACTTTTGTAGGGTATTTACCCCTCGATCAGAAAACAACTCAACATTTTCAAAATGTAATAGTTCAGTGTAACAATTAAAACACATTTAATGCGACATTTTTCATCTGTTAATACTTGTATAAAAAATCCATAAAAATGAACCAATTTTAAAAATCTTCATTCGAATCTCACTCATGTCAGTTCCATATGCATAAGTTTTAGTTATCTATTCTTGAGTTTTTACACATGCAGTATTATTTTTATTTTTGTACAAACTGTATACCTGAAATTATAAAATTTCCAAAAATGTTAATTGCTTAAATGCATTCCTGTGCTAGAAACCCACTTTTCATGAAATATTCTAAGAGTTCTTTACCCCTCAGGAGCCCCTTCTCTCAAAATAAGTAGTTATTTATAAAGATACTTACATCTGCCTCCTCCCTGTCAGGGAAAGCCACTTTCTTCCTCTCTAGTTTGGCGGATCGGATAGCATTATACCAATCAACAGCATCCTGTTAACATATGGTAATATTATAAAAGGTACCAACAACATTCAAAAATACCTTTCCTATAAAAAAAACTAAATCTTTAATCCTTATACAGTCAAGAGAAAGTGGATTTTTTGGAGGGCTATCCCCCCCCCCCCCCCCCCCCCCCCGGTTTTGAAACCATTGCTCAAAGATAGTGACATTTTCAGCAACATCCTAAACAAGATAAGTCATCCAGATTCTTATTCTATCAAATACCAGTAACAAAGTTCAAATGCATAGACCTACAAAAATCTGGAATAACAAAGATTTCTTGTACAAAGTCAAAATCAGTTACCTTAGGGTCATCTGTATATACAAACAAGTTCCTTGTAGACCCTTTGGCAAAATAAGTGATCTGCATGCCATTAGGGTTACCAATTTTATCTGGGACAAAAACTATATTAATGTCATCTAGATTGATCTCTGCTTTTGGTTTCTCATCCTTTTTACTCTGAAAAAAAAAAGATCGAATAAAAATTTGTAAATTAATTAAATTCTTATCTCATATCAACTCATGTTAAGAATTTCAAATTACTGTGTACAATGAATAATTATACATATCTTGGAACTGAAAAGCAAGGTAACGTCATCGATAATGACTCACCCTTAATTTTTTGTTTTTTTATTTCTCCTTACTTTTTTTTTTTTTTGAACAATTTCTGGTTAGTAAAGTAATACATGTAAATTTTACTACTGTAACATTACTCCAACAATCTTAGGAAGCTGTCAGGAAGATATTATTTTAATTTAATCTACATGGGAAAATGAAACCCTCAAGAAGGATGTCCTTGATTGTTATGATAATTTTAGTATCAAAGCCATGTGCCTGACATGAATAATGTGATGTAATCTTTTAATTATTTAATAAGGAAGCTATTGGTCTTTTTCAACAGTGTACTTAATGTCTTAAAAAAAAAACAGTATTATATCATTGCAAAATCAGTAGTAACTTGAAGACTGCAATTTCCTTGGACAAAAATGAACAGAATAAAAAAGATAAATTACATGTCTATTTAAAATGCACAGTGTTATTTCTTTACTAGAAAAGAAAATAATACATGAGAAAAGTCAACTTTCTTGAAACTTTTTTTCATAAATGAAATGAAATGACAATGTATAAATGTACTAGACTGCTGCGTTTTTCTTATCCCTGATCCGCTGCATTCTGAGAAAGTTTCACTTCCTTATGATCAAATTTATAATATTTCCTTATATTCTGCGCTAAGAGCGCTAGAAATCAGTCTATAATGTGACAACCAAGTAAATGTCAAAAGTAACATCAAGATTTCTTTCTGTGTTTTTGGACTGGATGCAGGGTCTTTAAGATTAGGGAAATGACCACCAAAACTAAAAAACTGACCAGTCAGCGAGGGCCCTTCTACGGGATGTGCATCTATGATGGTGAAAATGGAGGAATATATAACTTATCAATAAAGAAGAATTAAAAAGAAAATTTAAAAATATATAAGAATTAAAACAAGTACTGTACTATGAAAATGTAAAGAGTAAAGATATCTGCTGTATAACAGAATAATTTTATTATCCAACTAATGTTAAAAAAAATTTAATAGTCCATAAATGATGTATTTACATAAGGCAATTATGAAAAGATAGTTTTGATTAAATGTGTATTTGAACCAGAATAAAGAATGCATTATATTAAATGCCACCTTCATCAAAACCAAAAATTACTTGCAGACAGAGGTGTTCATTCATAATCTTAATGTAACAGATAAAGATTAGGCTCTAGATCTTCTGCAGCAGACATTATTTTTAATCCTCAGGTACTCAAAGGTAAAATGTATGAGAAAGTGTAACTTGATACAGGTAAAATTAAAAATATTGATGAAGAGTGTGAAACAACTACTGTAATTATGAAATTTAAAGACATTTCCTAAAAAAACAGAATGATATTTTTATCCAACTGCCTGTAATAAATAAACAGTATCCCCGCAGTGCATTCGCAAAAAGCAGTCAAAATCATCACTTTAGTTATACATATTTTTTACAATTCCTTAAAAATAACATTTATAAAAATGTATTTGAACCAGAATGAAGTGAGCATTTTATAAAATGCCAGCCTTTCATGAATGCAAACATTGTCCAGGTCTGACCTTTCAAACCAAAAATCACTAGCAGAGAGATGCTTCTTAATGTGACAGATAAAAATTAGGCTTTTGATTTTCCACAGCAGGCAAAATAAATAATTTATCCCTGCATGGGGATTTACTGCAGCTTTTGAAAGTTGATGGTAGGAAAAATTATTTCTCTTTACCAATTCATTCTTACATAAAGAATGGCATTTATCCCTCTACTCCAGCTCTTAATTGGATGACATACAGAAATCAAACTTGATATCAAAATATGCCATGCCCATAGTAAAAACATACCAAATCTGAACTGAATAATCTTTAAAAAAGTTATTAGGAAAAAGCAGAAAAATTGAGGATGAACAGAATGAAAAAGGGACAGACAGACAGAGTGATCACTATAAGGCACCTGCAATTTCTTGCAAGGCACAACTAGAAATACATTGTATGTCCATAGGACATGAATGCCCTGTCTAGGATTCAATAGTAATGCAACATGAAGATTCGTATTAGTGTTAAAGTTGAATGAAAATATCTTGAATTTTCTTTAAAACTGAGATTTGTCACAATAAATCGCATCTATCTTTCAATAATTTTGAAGTAAAGAGGTGAATTTATCCATTTGAAGAGCCTGCTTAGAATTATTTCCAATAGTTAATTTGCCAATTATAAAATTTGAAGAGGCAATTTCTGATCATTGAAATGAGAGTAAATCACCTCCTTATTGAAAACACTGAATAATAAAGTCAAAGGTCACTCAGAAGGTCAAGTTGAAAAATTTGGACACAGATGATAAATTCTCATCATATTATATCATTCTCATCATATCATCCATATGTATCAGTATATGTGTTTAGATAAAGTTATCCTGAATAGTTTCTTTGAAACTGAGCTAAATGCAAATTTAGGAAAGGTAAGGTCAAGGTCAAAGGGAAGGTTAAGATAAAAAAAATCTTGATGCAGTTCAGTAGCACTCACCAAAATTTATCACCATATGAAGTTTGATAAAAAAAAAAACTCTATTTGTTTCTTCAAATGAGCTAAACACGAATTAGAAAAAAGTGAGGTAATGGTCAAAAGGAAAGTCAAATTCAATTTTTTCAAGCAGTTGAATAGCTCTCACTAATATATATCAGCATATGAAGTTTGATAAAAATATCTTGAATAGTTTCTTTGAAACTGGGCTAAACACAAATTTAAGAGAGTGATGTCAAGGTCAAGGGAAAGGTCAAAGTCAATAAATGTTGATGCAGTTGAATAGCTCTCATCAATTTGTATCAGCGTATGAAGTTTGATAAAAAAAAATCTCTGTTTGTTAATTTCTTCAAAAGTGAGCTAAAAACAAACTAAAGAAAAGTGAGGTCAAGGTCAAAAGGAAAGTCAAATTCAATTTTTCTCAAGCAGTTGAAAAGCTCTCACTAATATGTATCAGCATATGAAGTTTGATAAAAATATCTTGAGTAGCTTCTTTGAAATTGAGCTAAATACAAAGAATGAGGGTGCTTTTGATTGGCATTCGGCAGGAATCTGGGCGCACTTGAAAAGTGAAAATTTCATTGATCTGTCACATGAAATTTTAGCATTCTTTTGATATATTTGGTTCCTGTGAAATAGGAAAGGGAAATATTTTCCCGATATTGTATTCTGATTTCCTAAAAAAGAACTCGAAAATTGGCTAGATGGGTCATTTGGTACAAAATGTTAGATTTTGAAACACGTTTTTCTAAAAATTTGCTATCTCTGGGTTATCTCTCCATGATTTTATAAGCTATTTGTGTGCATTTTAATTCAAAGAAACTAACAAACATTTGTCAAAAATGGAGAGAAGACCCAGAGACAATAAAAAATGTACTTTTTCTAAAAAAAATTCCAATGTGTAAATGCGGTGCTTCATTGTCGCTTTAAAAACCACAAAGTGTGTGGAGCGGTGATAGCTTAGTAGTATGCGTTACCCGTCTAGTGCACTAATAAAGAAATATTTTTGGTTCGATCCTCGCATGGAGCGTTAACATTTTTTTAGTACAAACAATCAATTCTTTTGTCAGTTTAATTTTATGTACTGATTTATTTTCAAATAGATAAATTCTGGTTCTGTTGCACTGAAAGCTAAAGCAATTCTTCCAACCTACTTATACTTTAATATATACATGTAATTGCATTTAACTTATATACCCGATAGGTGTTTCTTGTTTATGTGAAGCGTTACTAAATTTTACATGTAGTATTTATTAAGATAAGCAGACTGATATATTAAATTCGACAAAGTATTTCAAACATGTAAAATGTAACATTTTTCCCATGTGCGTAACTTTGTAAAGTGTGCCCAGCTGTGGTCAGTCGACCAAATCGTAGACATTTAAACTATAAATGTTTCGTACGCCTTATTCCTGCAGATCACACGCCAAACACTCCCATCTTCTTTAAGAAAAGTGAGGTCAAGGTCAAAAGAAAGGTAAAAAAAAAATGTTGATGCAGTTGAATAGCTCTTACCAATATGTATCAGGATACAAGGTATGATAAAAATATCTTGAATATTGAAACTGAGCTAAAAGCAAAGTTTGATGGATGGACAGAAAGATAGAAGACAGACATGACAAACACCATATAAAAATCCTTAAATCAGATAATATAGGAAAAATATTTTAAATTGTTGCTTCACTTTCAATGCAACAAAGTAAAGGTATTTAATGCATGTACATGTATTTTTAAAGAAGTTGAAGTTACAATAATTTTTAAGATCCCTGTGTTTAATGAATCGATAAACTATAAATGTATTATATCTAGCGTGTGCAATATTTGGTGGATATAGATTCTTGAACACATTAGCGTAAGTTTTAATTTAGTGCATTTTTAACTTCTTATTAATGTGAATATGTGCAAGACATTTGGCCTTGTACTTGAATTAGCAGAAGTTGCTTTCTGCTAAAGGCACTAAAAAGAATAAACAGACTAATGTAATACATATACAGTAAAAATATTAAAATAGATAGACAAAACATTCAATTTTTACTTACTACTAGATGACGTATACACCCTAAAACACACTTACATTTTCCTTTGCAAAGTAAGACAATGTATTGTTTTCCCTGGATAGAATAAATTTCCTCTTCTGAAATTTCCGATCATCTCTTCCTTTTTTCCACATGATGCCCTCTTTCAATGGACAGTTGTATCCAGTGGGAACATCTGGTGTTTTGAATTCTAACCTACTGTATTTGGCTTTGATGAATTCTGATTTTAATACTCTACAAATAAGAAAATATGTTATAACAGCATTCATCATGCTCACTTTTTTTTTATGTAACACTGACTGTGTTTTAAATACAACCACCTCAAATATACTGAGAATCTTTAAATTTTCTTTTAAATTTACACTCATTTTTCACACTTCTGAAACTTGTATTATTTAGAACCATGATATTTTTTTCCCTCTGACTCAGTGCAAGTCAGCATACTAGTAACTACTGATACGGTATGAATCAATTCCTTAGTCCTTACAACCCAGATACAAAAGGATGTTAAAATACTCACTCCACATCGTTATGATGTGGCTTTCTGTAATAGGGAGGAATGAACTTTTCATACTCTTCATTCACTATTGTATTTCCCTTCTCTGACATCACCTGCAAATCCAATCAAAGTACTAAAAGTACTCCATGATGGAGGTTCTACATATTTTAACTAAATTTAACACATTGAATATAACTATAATGTGATATACATTATTTGTGATATTAAATGATCTTTTACCTAACACTGTGAATGTTAAACTAGCATACCAAACATTGAAGAAATCAAAGGTATAAAATATTCTGCAGTCTTCTTCTAGTGTGTAAAATACAGGAACAAATTAATGATATCTAAAAAGCTACAATTTTAAAAGCTATTCCTTTGATTAAAATGGGCACATAATCAATATCAATGCATCAAAATTTCAAAATTAATCTGTCTATAAAAGCAATTTTACTCTGTATATACTTTTATGAATAAAGCATATTCAGCAAATATTCACCTAAAAGAAAAATCTTGATACAAATGTTCTGTTTAAGTTTTATAGATATCCTTATGTTTAAAAGATGTGCACAAATCTGCTTAAATAAATACGGTTATCTGCTCTAATATTATTCTGTATGAATACAGCTGGCATTATTTATATTTCTCTACATACCCGGAGTTTAGCACTATCTAGTATCTGTAACCAGAAGTATCTGACAAGACTTTAGCTCTACTGGTTTGTACTTATAACAAAGGAAGAGAAAGGCAGTGCTTCAACTTAAAACTATGACAACACCAAAAAACAGAATAATGATCTTTGGTTGAGTCTCTTTGTGTAGCAAGTTTATTGAATTTGATTAGATTTGTAGGAGGAGTAGCCTTTTGAAAGAATTTCACAGAAATTTCTGGTTTTAATAATCACTGCATCATCAATATCAAAAATCAATGGACAGAATTATGTATCTCTGAGTGTTGTCTTCTTGTGTACAAAGTTTTAATGAAATCAGTTCAAACCTGTATGAAGAGAAGTGTTTTGAAAGAATTTCATAAATATTCTATTTTTAGTAACCATGGCGATACTGTTCATTGAAATCAAAGCACAATAATCATTAGAATTATGTTTCTTAGTCTACATATGTACAACAAATTTATTGAAATCAGACAAAAATTGTAGTAGGAGTAGCATTTCAGCAGAATATTCAATTTTTAGTAACCATGGCAATACTGTTCATTAAAATCAAAAAGTTATTCATAGAATTATGTATCTTAATGTAGTCTACCTATGTAGAAAGCTGAAGGAGGAGTAGTGTTTTCAAAGAATTTCACAGGAAATTTCTATTTTAGTCTACTTGTATATAGACAATTTTATTTAAATCAGACTAAAACTATAGGAGGGGTACCCTTTCGAAAGAATTTCATAGGCAATACATCCATGGAAATTAAAAAACCAATATAAAGAATTATCTTGGTGAAGTCTTCTTGTGTACCAAGTTATATTGAAATCAGACTAAACTGTAGGAGGAGTAGCATTTTTGAAGAAAAAAAATTACAGACAGACAATGTACACCTTACCATCGCATTAGCTGTTCTAATCTCTGACTAGTAGAACTAAAAATCAACAATTATAAACAAATATGCCACTAGTTGATGTCCATTATATATACTGGTGAGCTTCAGGGTAGCAACAGTAAAAAGTCACCAGGCCTACTGACCTCATTCTTGAATTACTTGTATTATTGTCATTCACTTGTCATTAAATTAGGCATAAAAGTTCGTTACATTTCTAAATGTTACAATTGCTTGACACAATAATCTTTTATGTTGGCACATAATTAAGCCCCTACCAGTCTGAGAGCTAGAAAATTCAATATTTTAATAGTGAAGAAAAACTTCTCTCACAATGTTACACATTATTCAACCAAACTAAAAATCTGTGGGTGCATGAATGATTAGATGGATGTTCACGCATTAATAACTTTATAAATAACCAAATTTCTTTCTATACAGGAAGTTTTCAGTCAAAATATGAATGATCTACAAGTACACCACTGTACATTGTATTCTGAAGTGTCCAGTTCATATTTCAAACAATGAGGCTTATTTAAGCAGTTTTTTTGTTAATTACCTTTGGCTTAACTTATGCAAATGAAAAAAAAAATGGTTTATTGTTGCTTAAAGCTTAAATATACTGACAATTCATTGCTAACATATGCTGAAGATTATAGCTTAACATACCGGTATTCTGAAGTTTTGTAGCTTACTCAGAGCTAGACATTAACGCTTGTTTCCTTGGCTAGTAAAAGTGAAAAAAATCACAGACAAGTGAATATTGCTTGGCATTTGTCTGACAAGTGCTTTTTTCATGAAGTCTCCAATTCATAATAAGAATGACTGGTGAAAAGTTTATCTGTAATTTAGTTCATAAAAACCGAACTTCGATCCCGATATCAATTGCTATGTAATTGAGTTCACACTACATCAGGATCAAAGTTCACTAACTGCACACTGCAAAGACATGGATCTTACAGAGTTTGGATTCTGTTTGATGTTGACAGTTTCACTTGCAAAAATTTATGTTGTTGTCAGAACAGATAAAATTTTGTTTTATGTGTTTGTTGTATTTATCAACAACATCACAAATCGATCAAGCACTTATATAATGGACTTTATTCTAATTAATAGTTTTCAAGTTGACAGTATTAGATCTTTATTGAAAAAAATTTCAGACAAGCGAAGTTGAAGTTCGGACAAGTAAATGTCTTGGTCACTTGTCCGAATGGACAAGTACTGGTAGGTAAAAAAGTTAATGAGGAGCCCTGTTACTTAAGGTGAATTTTATAACTTACCTGAACTTGGTCTCCATCCCAGATATCCAGTCTGATAGATTTCACTCGACTCACATCTGTACCAAATCCTCGATGTACCCCAGAACAATCCAAACAAATAAATACTCCTATGTTACAAGATGCCCACTCTGGATCTGCAAAATAACAATGTTTTAGAAATCAATTAAGACATTCTCCTAGAACTAAGCAATGAACAAGAAAATAACTCTCTTCCTCTGATGAACATTCATCAATGTCAAACTTACTCATGTTACTAGGAACTGCTTAAGGCTACCTAATCTCTGTCCACAAGAAAACAGCTTTAGATTTAAGCAAAGCATCTGAGAATAAAAGCCATACTTTATCCTCATTTCCAGTATCTCCTGATACATGTAAAAGGTCCCACCTTAGACTGTCAATCCATCAACACATGCACCTCAGATTGTAAATCCATTGACACATGCACCTCAGATTGTCAATCAGTTGACACATTCACCTCAGACTGTCAATCCATCAACACATGCACCTCAGATTGTCAATCCATTAACAAATACACCTCAGATTGTCAATCAGTTGACATGTGCACCTCAGACTATTAATCTATCAACACATGCACCTCAAATTGTCAATTCATTGACACATGCACCTCAGATTGTCAATCGGTTGATACATGCACCACAGAATGTCAATCTATCAATACATGCACCTCAAATTGTCAATTCATTGACACTTGCACCTCAGATTGTCAATCGATTGACACATGCACCTCAGAATGTCAATCAAGTGACACATGCACCTCAGATTGTCAATCCATTGACACATGCACCTCAGATTATCAATCTGTTGACACATACATCTCAGATTGTCAATCGGTTGAAACTTAAAGTGGGAAAGTCCAGAACATATAATCCCATACCCCATATCTTTCCCATTTCAATTGAAGGGCATAAAATATATTTCTCATAAATTTTAATAGGGTAATTTTTTTTTAAATGTTAGAATTTGGTTCCATTTACCATGTTTCCCAATGAAAATTTAACAGAAATATTAAAGCTTTATTTGTAGGTCCTACTTTTTTCAGAATTGATCTTAAAAAATAACATTTTTACATGCAATTAATGTTATTCTGCATAAATACATATTCTTATTATTATTTGTTGAAATTTTGCATAGGTAAAAATATATTATATGCAGAACAGTTTGTTATATTATCTTGCTTTGAATCAAAGAACTAGTCTTAGTAATTGGTGTGAAGATTGTAGGGCTGCGTATTTAACAAAAAATTTCGATACGATACAATATTTTATAAGGCGATATGCGATATATTGGATTCTTTAACAAGTCCATCAAAAAGTCATATATATATCACTTAATGCATAAATTTTATAAAAACTAAATGCTTTATAATCCATTTGGTAGTTTTTGTCTCATGGGCATTAAAAATATACCCTTCAAATTCAAACATTAACAACTATAAACCAACATGTTGAAATACAGTTATCTATGTATTACTAATTATTTAAGATGTGCTATCTCCTTAATGTTTATATGATTATTGATCAGTTTTAATTAAAAAACAGTTAAATATAGTCTTCAGTGATTGAAATTCCCAATTTTTCCTAAAATTGTATGAAAAACCACTACACTGATACGTATTGAAGTAAAATTTTTGCTACGATACATTCCTGAATATCGATATGTATCGTTATATCGATACCTAGCCCTAGCAGATTTTCTTAAAATGATAGATGACCTCAAGAAAAGATAGCGGGAGGAGGACTCAAAGAGACTCTCCAACATGTCCAATGGACCTAGCCTGCAGCCTGATCAATTTAATGTATTGTATTTAATATATAAAAGGAATATACTTTGTTTAAATTAGAATATTCACTCGATAAGAATAACCTTTTCTTTTTAAGTTAATAGGTGTGTATTAGCATATCTTTATTGTTAGAATAAATAGTAAATTTGATCATTGATAAATGTTATTTAATGTGCACGAGGAAGGGGGAAGCCTGGTTACCTACTTGTCACGAAACAGCTGTTAGCACTCTATTTCTGAACTTTTTTTTTCTAGAATACATGTTAACATATTATTGTCATAACCAGTCATCTCTAGTCAGATTGCATCTTTTTTTTTTAAATTGGTATGAATTAAATGATTTGAATGCAATAAATACAACCTATGGTTCACTATTGTGAGCTTGTAAGACCTTTTCTTGCCTTTTGAAGAAAATTGAAGGGCATAAAAATATATTGTCATTTGTGTTGAACTTAACATGAAATATACAAAAACAAAACAAAAATAACTCTTTTTTTTCTTTATCTGCTTAAAATATGAATTTAAGGGCCTTATCTACATTTGTAGGTGTTGTGTACTAGAGAACACTTGTACATACTTCAGTTGGAGTATTTAAGCTCTGTTTTCGTTATAGAACAAAATTAATTTTCCTTGTTAGCCTTTTCTGTCAAATAAACACTATAAATAATTTGAAATATACATGATAAATATATCCAAATATAACATCAATGTTTGAGTCAAGTTTCAGTTTATATATTCTGTATGTAAGCTAAAATCATGTTAATAGATGATTAAAAATATCTGGCAGGAACCTTTTTTTTTTAATTTCAACAGAACTGGCTCTTAAATATACCTGTACACAGATAAATTAAAGTTTACTTACTTTAAAAAAAAATATTATGTTGCCTTGAAGGAAGTTGGGTGCCAATATATTTGTTATTGGTATACCTATAATTTTGTCAGATGTACACTTTTTTATTCAACATATCAAATCAATTTATGATAGTGTACACTCAGTCTGTTACGTGTAGGACAGAGCTTCTACTTTTTACTCCGAGTCAAATGCATTATATTTCTGCGTCTTAATTGAAATGTATGGCTGGACAGGGACTTTAACCCAGGACCTCTGAATCATTGGTCAGATGTTCTACCAACTGAGTTACCCAAGCCAATATCCACAGCCAAAACCATTACATTCTTTCCTCCTTAAATTGTCTTTGCCCTCGAAAAAACACAACCCAACTTCTTATTGCCCCTGGCAGGACTTTTACCTGCAAGTCAAGGGGTGGTCAACGGCACCAAATTATGTAATAGGAAAGGAAAATATGTATGGCTGGACCTGGAATTGAACCAGGGACACCTGCATCACTAGTCAGGTGCTCTACCAATTAAAATGAATTTAAACCATTAGTGAATTTAATTTAAAAAAAACAATTGCACTAATAGATTTGTAACCCATAGTATTTAACAGGAAGGGAGAAAATGCACCAGACCCAACCACGAATGGCACAAAATCTTTCATTAAGACATTATTATTATTATTTATATTTTTTCATTGAACATGTTTAATATTTTTTAAATACAAATAAATAAAATCCCACAAGAAAATGTGACATTTCAATACTGACGTTGTTCCACTTTCAAAACTGTGCCATGCAATGGACAATACCTTATTTATGTTTAATAATTAACTAATTAATAATACATTTAAAAGACTAACGTTACTTTTCAACAAACGGAATACTATGATACACCAAGTATGTGATGATACGAAAATTACATGAAGTCTGTCAGATCTGTTATATAGTGTACGAAAACAAAATTCCATGCTACATACTTTCTTTTCCACAGTCTGCACATACGCCGTTTCCTGGTCTTCGAAGCAATTCCTCAAGAAACTTCTTGTGTTCCGCCATCTTGTAGAGCTACCTTCCGTAGCTACTATTTTTAATTTGGAGATTCACCTTGTGACATCATAGATGCTAAATTTAGAAAATTATTTATTTGTTGAGTAATTTGAACAAAAGGATATTCGTATGGCAAGCCCTTTTACTATTTAGGCCTATTGCGGAAGAACTCTAAGTAATTTTTTATGTAAAACTCAATAATTAAAAAAAAAATAGAGCAATATTTATTTATTTATTTATTTATTTATTTATTTATTTATTTATTTATTTATTCATTTATTTGTCTATTGAACATCAAGATTAGAAATGGTATATGGTGTATTAAATTTCATGACGGATTAGCTTTGAAATTTTAAAGAATTTCACTTAAAATCACTTAATAGAAGAACAATTATTACTATGTGTAATTCACTATTTAGATGTATATATATGTATGGAATAATTATACCTATTTATAGAATCTCAACTCTCATTCATTGTTTAAATATTCAAACTATTAATTGTATGTTTTTTGAAAGGAGTAATTTGAGAATTTTATAGATGTAATCAAACAACGTTTTATTGCCTGTAATTTTAATTCCTAAAAAGGCATATTTATGTTCTGCGATTACTTAAGATTATATGATGAATAAAAAAGTTTCCAGAGAAATGAATATTTATTATTTCTTTTTTTAATGTCAATTTTTTCACAAGGTATTTTGTAAGGAGGATAAAATGTATTTTGTAAGGAGGATAAAATGTCTGAAAAGTCTTAGTGTGAAAAATTGTGAAACTTTGAATTTATTGTTGTAAGACAGCATCAGTTTAACAAAAATATTTAAAATAAGACAAAATGCTTTAGAAAATTTAAATCAATATCTATTAAAATCAGTAGACTTATACTGTAGAGTTAAATTTATCCATTTGTGACACGGGTATTTCCGTACTTTGTATCTGGCTACTATGCAAGGAGAGGGTATCGTCTCATGGTACTGCAGAGATTGTACCCAACAAACTTTTGTACCAGAGGAGAGCTCCATTGCTCCACCTCCTCTTGAGTCCATTAGGCTAGAGTTATCTTTTCTTAATATATGTGTAGATTATTCTCACAATAAAGGGATTATAATTCTAAGTAGATATTAAAAAACTATTATAATATTATAAATAAAAAAAAAAGAAAAGAAAACAATGCATTTGAAAAATGCAACTTATCAATTAGAGGATCGTCTGCTAAATGTTGTGTGATGTGTCTAGTGTGTTGGTGTCTGTGTGCTTGTCACCTCTCGCTTTCAGTCCTCACCGCTGGCTAGCAGCAATGCGAAAAGGGAAGTTATTTGTAAATCTTCCCCTGTCAGTACATAGCCTCTCCACAACAAGTCCTATGCGATGCCTCCAAGTGGAAGCAGACGGATACTGGACACTTTTCGGCACCAGGCTAACTTTGCAATGGCACACGGGAGGATGAGGCTCGAAAGCCTTGGCCAGCAACTCATCTACGAGAGAAAACCCTGATCACAACCCGGATTTAGTAGGAGACCGTTATCAATTACTATCTCAGCCCTCCAGACATGAATTAGAGGTTGGACTTGAAGCTAATCACCTCCCTCCATAAAAATCAGATGATTACGGAAACCGTTTCAACAATTAGTACCACTGAAGGAAGGGCAGGCGCGACATGCGAGATTCCAGATGAGGATTATCATCATTGGGAATTCGAGAGTATGACGGCAGTTAGAAAAAGCTGAATGGACCCCAGTGGCCTGAAAGGAACGCAGATGCCATCCATAACAACACCTAAAAACATCACCTAGATCGGATGTTTTAACGTAAGAACAATTTTCCAAATTGGAAAAACAGCTAACACCGTAAGGGAGTTTTACAGATACAAGTTGGACATAATGGGACTGAGCGAAGTAAGATGGACAGACTTTGGTGAATTAAAGACAACCTCTGGAGAGACCATCTGGTACTCCGGAGCTGAGGAACATCAAAGAGGAGTAGGGCTTGGCAAAGCTTGATGGAATGGAATCCTGTTAATGACAGAATCATCAGCACACGCTTTTCTCCCGCTTTGCTTATATAACAGTAATACAAATATACAGCCCAAAAAACGAAACAGATGAAGCGGATAAGGACACCTTCTACGAACAATTACAGTGAGAGATTGTAAAGGTGCAAAAGCATCATATCTGATGGTAATGGGCGATGCGAATGCACAAGTTGGAAAATCAAGTGAAGGATGGGAAAGAGTCATGGGACAAGAGGGCACTAGGACTATGAACGAAAACGGCAGAAGGTTAGCTGAAATGTGCGCTCTAAATAACTTAGTCATCTGCGGAACCCTCTTTAAACACCTTGACATATACAAACTTACAAGGGAATCTCCTGATGGAAGAGATAGGAACCAAATTGATCATGTAATGGTGAATGGCAGATACAGGAAGTCTGTATGCAATGTAAGGGTTATGCATGGTGCAGATGCCAATTCAGATCACCACTTTAGCACTGGCTAAAGTAAAGGTGAAGCTCTGCAGGAACTTAAAGCCCCAAAATGCAGCAGGAAGATGTATGATGTCAGCAAGTTGAAAGATCCAAGAATATGCAAAGGATTCCAACCTGAAAGAAGAAATAGGTTTCAGCAACTGTCTGAGGAGGAAAACACGGTCAATGAAAAATGGACCCTTGTGAAAGAGGTATATAATGAAACAACAGAAAAGATCTTGGGCCAGAAGAAAAGGAAACACAAAGACTGGTTTACTGCAGAAACTTACAGCGCCATAGAAGAAAGAAGAAAACTACAAGAAGAAATAGGTAGATAAAATTTGGCGAGAGAATAAGAGAAATTAAGAGAGAAGAATATAAGACGAAGGACAAGATGTTTAAAGAAGAGCAAGAGCCGATAAGATGAAAACTCTGGAGGATATTGCAAACCAAGCAGAGAACGCATCAAACACAAACCACGTGAGTGAAAGATGGAAGGAGCATTTTGAAGAGGTCCTTAATGTTTCAACAGAAGCAACAGAATTACCTGTGGGATGCACCATCCAAGAGAACATAATTGTTGAAAGTGACACAACACCAATAAGAGAGGAGGAGGTTAAAAAGGCAATCCAAAACTAATACTAAGGCAGTATGGGATTCCTGAAATATATGTGGACATCATCAGGAAATTATATGACAGAAAATCTAGTTGTGTCATAAAGAATGAAAGAACAACAGACTTGTTGAAGGTACAGAGAGGTGTTAGGCCTGGGTTCCTGTTCATCATTGTGGTAGACTGGATAATGAGGAATACGAACAATAGGAAGAGAGGTATACGTTGGAGATTTATGTCCACCTTAGAAGACCTGAATTGTGCAGACGACCTCGCACTTACATGTATTTCTTGCAAACACAGCGAAATGCAAGAAAAGACCAGGAGATTACATGACGTCGCTGAATATACAGGCTTGAAAATCAATGTCCACAATACAAAAAGCATGAGAATAAACGGAAAAATAACAAGGAAGTAGAAGATGAAACATTCCTCTACCTGGGTGCCACAATGGACAAGACGGGAGGTACTGAGACAGACATAGGGAGAAGGCTAGGCTTAGCCAGGACTGCTTTCGCATCCCTCACCAAAGTATGGAAGTCAGCACAGTACAACACAGACACCAAACTTAAAATTTTTATCTGTGTTGCTGTATTGTTCTGAAGTATGGAGAACCACCAAGAAAGACGATGAAAAGCTGGACACATTCCATCTGAGATGCCTTAGGAGGATCCTAAAAATACACTGGCCTGAAAAGATATTCAACCAACGATTGTATGAGAGAGCAAGATCCATAACTTTATCAAGGACAATCAAAGGAAGAAGACGGAAATGGATAGGCCACAATCTCCAAAAGGAAGCCAGATCACACATAAGAACAGCTCTCACATGGACCCCTGAGGGAAAGCGAAGAAGAGGACGGCCGAAGAACACCTGGCGACACTCTGTTGAGAGAGAAAGAGAAGAATTTGGTTGGAGAGCTGGAAGGAGGGGCAGGTTGTTCCCATGGACGTTCTTTGTTGAACGTATGGTGTCAAGGTATATATGATGCTCTACCAGTAACAAATTTCTGTACAGTAGATTTACTTCATATTTTATTTTTTATTACTTGCTACAAATTATCCATTCTATATATTTCATATCTTTTTGTATTACTTTATATAAATATTCATTCTATATACTTCATATCTTAATTGTTATTACTTGCTATAAATATTATTCATTCTATATATTTCATATCTTAATTGTTATTACTTGCTACAAATTATTCATTCTATATATTTCATATCTTAAATTTTATTACTTGCTACAAACTATTCATTCTAAATATTTAAAAGAGAGAACAAGTCTTCCACCATGTGGATCTGCAGTGTTCACTCTAAGAAGATGCATTGTCCAGCCACTGTGCTGCAGACCAAGGGTGATTTCCAGATGGGACAAGCCCGGTATATCCACCCTTCTAATCCAAAGCTTCCTTTCCGCGTGAAGGTGTCCTCAGAGGTAAACTTTTACATTTATAAACTACAATACCAATTTTGAACAATTTAAACTATTCTGTGAGAGTAATGTAAAGGTGTAAGCAAAGGTAAACATGTATAATTATTAAAGATTAAGAAATAAATAATTACCATGATATCTAATATTTATCATATGTTTACCCCTTTATCCAGTGGATATCACTCGTTAGGATATTTTTTCATATCCCACTGCTGTGACGTCACAATGGGTTTGGCGTGAAAATGATGAAGTAAGTAGTGTGCATTCAGTGTAAAACATTAATAGTGATGTATAAAACATGTGATAAAAAGAATTTCCCATGATTTGTGGTTGGATATGATTTTTATCCAACGCATTGTGTGTTTTCATCCCCTCGCCAAGGCTCCGGGATAAAAAAAAAAAACCCACACGACTCCTTGGATAAAAATCATATCCAACCACAAATCATGGGAGATCCTATAAATATATATTATTTACATCCACAGGCAAAGTCTCAGGCTGCATCTGATGTTTTCAGATCAGCTATGGCCATCGTTGAGGATGTTGTAATGAGGATTAC